TCCTTGTGGAAAAAGGAAGTAAACATTGACCCCCCGGAATCATATCATAAATAGTGATATTCGAAATGGATTGGTATGTAAAATCCTTGCCTTATAGTGAAAGGAGACGTGGTAATGGGTGCAATGTTCAAGAAGAATCCGAGGGAAAACGACTTGAGACCCAAGGAATGGAACAAATTTTTTCCAGTTCATTCGCTGAGGACGAGCACTACGATAAGCTCGCTTGAGCGTTTGCACGGCGCGAAGGTCTTGCCTTTCACACTGCCGGCGCTACCACTCTATCAATGGAAGCATACGTGGGGTCTGCGCAATCTCGCGACGTGCTCTCTCGCGTTTTCTCTCCTCGCAGCGCTATTTCTCTCCGTCATACCACGGCCGACCTCACAAGGGAATTTCAGCGTTTTCTATGGTGCTTTTTGCTTTTTCTCCCACTCTCGTTCCTCATCGCATTTCTTGTCCAATTTTCGAGCAAAATAACACACTAGTTCGACTCCGTCCCGTGCCTTAAAGTGCTCGGCATTTGTTGATGATAACTTATCTGCCCCTACTTCCACATAAAGTCTAGTAAAAAATGTAAACATGTGTCCGAGTCGTCAACTCAAAATTCCTAGAGCAATACAGTAGCGGTCAAAAGTGTTCGCCGAGAACGTTTTTCGTGCATCATTTTTCTCACTCAAACAGTGCCCTTCAAAATTAATAAGACATGCCTTTTAAAGCCTTCAAAACCTTGACTATTGAAGAGTTTAGATATTTGAAAGAAAGGCTTCAAACTAATCTTCAGATCTTTCTCTGGAGGAAGAAATGAAATGCACGAAAAAGCGTTTCGGCGAACACTTTTGACCTCTACTGTATGTATGTGTGCATTTCACGCACAAATAAATAAGAAAATAAACAAATGCTGATGAAAATCATACCCGTAATAGAAAGAAAGTTGAGGCCACCAAGCAGCAAGAAAATCATTGCACTGGGATATGCGAATTCGCCCAATTTCCAACAGATAATCACCACGTAGAGGAGCACAAGTGCCATGATAGTGCTCAGCGATCGGCTGATCAGGAACAGGTACCTCTTACGAGCACTGAAATCAGCTCTCATCACGAGCGAACTGGGCAGCGCAGAGATGGATAGAAAAATCCTGTCCAAATTCTTCATATTATCATTCAAGAAGAAATATGCAGATTGAGTTATTAAAGGCGGGTTTAATTTACGATAAAAGGCAGCTTATCTCAAACCCGAGAATGGGATCTCTTGTTTTTTTTGATGTTTAGTTTTGCCATTGATGCGACACTTCGTGTATAAGTGTTGTCCTCGGTTCCGCGCTTGACTCACCTCTCTGCCAGAACGGCTAGGCCTACGGTGTTCACTGGACCGCGACCGGTGGGGGCGTCCAGCCTGTATTGCCAATGCTGGGGACTGCTGGGCATATTCCTTGCCAGGACTTGCATGTCGGCTTCGCACACCTGAGGGTTTGCACTTGCCATTTCACGTGAGTAATTTGCCATTCTTCAAAATTTGACCTAGCGGGGAATCCTTCTTTACTGTCGCCTATCGACTTCCAGACTGCTCTACCCCCATTTTGATTCTTGACGTTATTATCAGCTCGGTCATTATTGGCCTGATTCTTTCGCTCCCTATTGAGTGTTACTACCCCTGAAATGCGAGTCGTTTTTCTGGCCTTTTTGTCAAGGTCTATGAATTTTATCAAACTTTTGTTGAAGTTTTACGTTTTTTTTCAGTTATCGTTTACCTTCCGTTCCGCAACTCTTTACTCAACAGAGGAGGGGCAAGGAGTTACAGCCAGGGTCAAGCGTGCGTTGAGGAATCCTCGACACGTCGCAGGGGGGGGGTCGTATTGGCCCGCTGGGTGGAAGAGATCGAGCCATTTTGATGCAGTGGGATCATCACCGTCGGAAGACAAATATCAAGGATGAGTCGATGCCAGGCCAGAGGATTTCCAATGAAAATGATATTTCACCCACACAAAATTTTCGTGATTCTGAGGCGTCCGGTAATTCTTAGTTACTTCAGTGTTTTATCACCACACAAGTTAAAGAATCTGAATTTCGCACGCTTTCCAAGAGATATTTCATCTTTCAAGTAAGACCCCGAATCGGAAGGGATGTGAGGTACACGGCGCATCCGAGAAAGGGTCTAGTTGTTGCGCGCGCTTGAACTACGGCTCCTTGGACAAACAACCTCAATTCAGGAACAATCGAGAGAATTCTGAAAGTGTCCGTGCGCATTTACAGGGAGGTGTACACCATTCAACATTGCGTTAACGGACTCTTCAGGGTTAAATTTATAAAAACAATAAACAATAAACATGTAACCTTGAGAAAAAGAAACGCTAATCAATCACTTTTCTTAGAAAGAGAAAAGCAATGATTCCAAATCTGCTCTTACTTTAGTACATACGCCCTTAAAAGGATATACAGCCGTTGAAATAGTGCCAATGTAGCGAAAAAGTACCTTTCGGCGGTACTCGTGCGAAAATCCTCAACGTAGCCGTTTTTTTAATACTGGACGTTTGGAGCAGTTCTAGTAGCATTTGATAGAGCAAATCTTCTAGTTTCTGATGGCGTATTCACTTTTCGGATTGGATGAGTTTGAACGGAGTTATGGCTTTAGGAAAAAAAAACTCGCACTCATCACAAATTTTCCTCGTTAATTTTGCAGAAATCCTCAACGTGGCCATTTTTTGAATACTGGACGTATGAAGCTGCTTTAGCAACGGTTTGGTAGAGAAAATCTTCTAGTTTTGTATGACGTATCAACTTTTTGAATTTGACGGAAATGAAGCAAGTTATTGCTCCGGAAAGTGTAAAAACTCGTGCTCGTCTCGAATTTTCCTCGTTATTTGATCTAAATTTGTTATTTCTTATAAACTTCCTGTAATTTCAGTACTGATTAGAAAAAGCTCTTCACAAAACTCCCAAATCAGCTTTCAGATTGAAAATTCGTTAACTTTGAAGAAAGTTATAATCATTTGAATATTTGTTCAAATTTCAATAGTAAATAAGCTGCTCCACGGTCAACGCCAAAGTCCAGTCAACACACAGCTGGCGAAGGCGGTTAAAAAGCTTCTTTCAACTGAAGGGCTACGTGCAAATTGAGAACCACAATCTGTGTAGTACTAGAATTTGGTAAGTCTTGTGGAGGAAATAAATAAAGAACAGATGTTGTCATAGTATGCCATTTTTAGTGGCTAGTTTGTCGTTTTCTGGTCTGTTTCTCGTTTGCTCGTTTGGTAGGACTCATCAATAATGATTATTCTTTGACTTTTTCACTTTTTACTTCTTAAACGAAATTTTTTTGTGGGCGGTGGGGTAGCAGGGCATTTATGAGCAGTTTTGGGGGAGAATTAAACAAGCTTTTCAACCTTTTCATAGTTCGGCTTTTGAAGAGGGTTGTTTCATGGACTTCGGCCTCCGGCGGAGGGTGGTGGGGGGGTCGTATTTCCAAATTTTCCTCAACGCCTCGCTTGACCCTGGTCATCACGCTTCACATTTCAATACGAAGTACTCACACTGTGGCGCCAAACCATAAGAAATGAGCCCGCCAGTATTGAGCAGCACATTATACTTTCTTGAAAAATTAACATAACGCCTTCCATACCATCAGAAATTTTTCACGGAATCATGGTCACAAGTACGAGGTTAATTGGGCCTATAGAATGCCTAGACTATTTAATGAGTCCGACGCTGAGCAAGCGGTCTTGCACCAGCCAGCTAGTATCTCTTCAAAGCTATTCACCGTTAAACTTTGGTTGAAGCAATTATCCTGTAAGCAGCTTCAATCGGAGATTGCGGGAAGGCTTCCGTGGAGCCTCGACAAGGTAACGGCCAGATTGAAGTCATATTTATCGAAGATGGGGGGGGGCGGTCAGTGCAGGAGTTCATGCTTCTGTTTTTGGGGGACCTAAGGTAACTGACTCTATTTTTTAGCATCACCCCACCTGCATAGTGATCTACTCGTAGTTACTCCCTTGTTTAACGGCTGCTACTGTTACTTATCACTCCTAACACGTTATCAAAGAAACCCCACCTACAATATGTTTGGAAGTGGGAGTACCCTTTCATGGGAGAACAATGATTTCCGGTCGCAGACTCACAAAAACACAAACGGAGACAAATACTAAGCGGATTGTCTATTGGAGGGTATTATTTGTATGTGACTCACGAAAAAAATGTGAATTAGTCTCGTCCTGACCTCTTGGAAGTTAAAGAACGGTAAGAGAAAGTAAGGAATAGAGCAGAAAATCGGAGCCTTTCTCACCTTTCCTCCTCTTTTCGGTATATCTTCAGTTGAATAATCAGGTAAGTGACATTCAAGATCATTGCCAGCAATGAGAGGACGATCGGTATGACCGTGAAGCCGTAGACTCGGAACTCTTTCGCCTTGTGCAATTCCTGAACGGTCACATGATTTGAGCAGAAATTGGACATCTTTTTTTGCAGTCATTTATATACGCATGTAACATTTGGACTGTTCCCACATACTTGTACTTGGAGAATGAGAATGAAGATGGAGGTCGGGTTCTAGAGGGTGATTCCAAAATAGCCATTTTTCTGAATTCAGGGCGTAAGTGCAATGTCTTTCGTCTGGAAGTGTACGAGGTAGCACATCTCCACAACCAGGCCCGATACGACCACCCATCCAGCAGAGATGGAAGACATGGTCAGGAGGCTGAGGTAAGATTTGACCTGATCAGCTGCGGGAGTGTTTTCAGCCACTGCGTGGCTCTTGTCCCAAAGTTGATAAATAAAGAAAAGTAATAATTCCTCTCGGCCCTCTCGGCACCATCCGAACAACGATGAGAGATGTGGAGTTAATCCGCTCGCTTAAACGAAGGGCAAAGTAAGCGCCGTGAAATGGTCCATCATACTAAT